CCATAAAATCTCATTGGTTAAAAAGTTGACAGTTTGACAGCTGAAAGTTGAACTTGAAAGCTTGCATAAATTAAAATTTCATCCGTCTGTACTCTTATGAGTCAAATGAGTCAATCAGCACGCGAGAAATTAGACAGTTATTGTAAAAACAAACAATTGCGCCTCCTTGTGATTTCCATGCACAGTAATAGTAGTGTAACATTTGGAATGTCAAACGTTTCGACTTCCTTATTTAAATACAAGGCTAACCAACTTGACTTAAGAAAACAAAGATACACAATCGGAATGTGATAACTGCTTTACACACACGACAAATGGCAAAAAAAATGTTCCTCTCCCGGGGGAGGGGACTCCCATGTAAAAAGCAAGGGAGGTACTCCTGGAAAATCTTGAAAAAAAAAACACCCTTAATAAATACCAAGATCCTCTTTTGTGCGCGTGTATTGAAATTGTTTTTCATCCTAAGAGGTACCAATTCTAAAACAACATATTATTTCCTCTAATATTGTTTTCAGCTCAATACAGTCAACTCTCTCTAAGACGGACACCATAGGGACCGGCCTCAGCTGTCCGTCTTAGAGAGGTGTCCGGCTTGTAGAGAGTCGACGTTTCATGACCCCAGGAATTTTAAGATAATAATGCTGAACCTGTGCACAGTGAATACGCATCTGTTTAAAGTTTGTTTTAAGTTATTTACTTGAACGAAACCTGCAAACTGGAGCAAGAACATAGTTATGAAATTGAATCTCTTGTCATATTACAATCAATAGTTAACGGGTTAAATAGAGTCCAAACAGTGAAGAGAGCTGTCAATTAAAGGTCTGGTGTTAAGAAGAGTCACCTACTTGGTAATTTAAGAATTTTTCTTCCCTAAGTCGTAATTTGCGGTCACATTCAGCACCTCACAAGTGTCCGTTGACGATTTCAGTGTCCGTTGTCCGTCTTATGGAGGTGTCCGTCTTACAGAGAGTTTGGTTATGGTAAAATGACTGAGAAACGACCGGGACCAGCACCAGGTGTCCGTCTTATAGAGGTGTCCGTTAAGAGGGAGTTGACTGTACCCGCAAAACTTCCCGCTGTGGACCTTTAGAGGCTTTACACCCAAGAGGAACCAAAACTGCTTTTTTAACTCCTAAAAGGTACGATGAGCACCCCCGTCATTTGCACATGAGGGTCCCCTCCCGGAGTTTCTCTTATCTGTTGCACCTTCTCCTCGCTAGGGTCCGTACTGATGGAGTTTTAATACTTTGGGATCCGGGCTCCACTGCAAACCATTTAAGGCTCCGGGCTCCGCAGCTAAATAAGATCTGGACTCCAGGCAGTTCAATGATGGGGCTCTGGGCTCCAAACGAGCTCCTTTGGGACCCTGACAGTTGACTGTTCTTGAGAGAACAGTGAATCAGGAGATCAGTTTTAATCAAGTTTTCTGTTATTATTTACGACATTTATGGTCGTCTGCTTTAAAACGGATGGAGGACAGTGTATATGCATTTTTAAAAGTCAGTTTCGAGAAAAAATCCGGTACTTCCCATTGAGAAATGCCCATCTCTTGTACTACGCAGGAATACGATGTTATACGTTATTATCCAATTTCCTCTCTGATATCTGTCGAGTGGTCGCTTAGGGGAGGTTAGAAACAAGAGAAAATTTCAAACTTCCAGCTCTAAAAGTGGTCGCCGTCGCTAACTAGAGGTGTAAAGTAAAGTAAAGTAAAGTAGAGCAGAGTAGAGTAGAGTAGAGTCGAGTCGAGTCGAGTCGAGTCGAGTCGAGTCGAGTAGAGTAGAGTAAAGGAAAAGGAAAAGGAAAAGGAAAAGGAAAAGGAAAAGGAAAAGGAAAAGGAAAAGGAAANAGAAGAGAAAATACAACAACATGGAACAGTTCAGATGGTAAAATCTTGACTTGTTTTCCTTCTGTTAAAAAGCTCTCCAAGTATACAATCTTTGTTCTGTCTATAAGAGGAGAATCCGCTAAGTTTGACTTACATGAGTTTGTTTCATGTTCATCATTTGGATGTGAAGTTACAGTACTTCCCTGTTGCATTATCCTGCCTTCTTCAAGGCTCGTGACAAGTCTAGAGCGTTCATTTGACAAGTACTGATGTTTGGAATATTTTGTCTCTGTTACATCAACCCCACAATCAGAGTGTAAGTCTTGCTGTGAGTGTGGCACATCTTGAATTTCCAGATTTAGAAAGTCACATTCATATACCATCTGTGCAGATAAAAGAAAAAGTGTAATACGTTCAAATATCTAATATCAACCCTTAGCTAATTGTCACAAGCACACTAGCATAAGTATAGACAACATACACAGACTCGGTAAGGTGTTGCTAACTACTGTATTTTTTCGGTTATATGGCGCAGCGTTTTGTGAAAATATGCCTGTTCAATCGAAATTTGTTCTAAACTCGGGGTGCGTCTTATAGCCGAGTATGGTCGCGCCACAAAAAATAAAATTTGCCAAATTTCCCTGATGATTAAACCTGTCAAAGGACTCAAGTACTCTAAATACCGTAAACATAAAACAAATATTGCTGGTCATTGACTTTTTCAGATTTGTGGTTCAGAAAAGAACCTTCGTTTTCCTCGGTTTCGCTTTCCGTCTCGAACTCGTTGTCAATTGCGTCTTCTGGATCTTCTGCTTCTTCTCCCTCCTCGTCCTCGTAATGCCAGTAGCATAGTGATACCACAGGATGTGAAGGATTTGGAAATCAGCACTGCTGGGATTTCATTCCATGCTTGATCGATCCACCTCCAGTGGCGGATCCAGAGTTTGAGCTGGGA